AAAACAGAAATTTAGTTATTTCTCTTGGAGCAGTCCAGCATGTACGTTCATGGTCAGCTGATGACTTTTCTCCATCTTCATTACACATGAAGGTTCCTTCCACTTTATGGCTCATGTTACTATTCATTTTGTGGCCATATTATTATCTGTATCCAGAAAGCAGACAGGGAAAAGAGAGCATACTGCTTCTTCTTCTTCTTCTTCTTCTTTTTAAGATTTTATTTATTTATTTGACAGAGAGAGAGAGATAATGAGAGCAGGAACACAAGCAGGGGGAGTGGGAGAGGGAGAAGCAGGCTTCCTGCTGAGCAGGGAGCCCAGTGTGGGGCTTGATCCCAGGACCCTGGGATCATGACCTGAGCCGAAGGCAGACGTTTAACCGACTGAGCCACCCAGGCGCCCCAAGCATACTGCTTCTTGAAAGCAGCTCAGCAACAGCACATACCACATACCATTGACTGGAACTTGGATCAGTTAGATGGATACATTTAATATCATGGGAAGCTAGCAAATGTAGTTTAGTTGTGTGCTCATGGAGTGTGAATAGCTACCCCTTATTTATGCATATGCTGAAAAAAAGAAATAAAATGTAAAGGAGAGTAGTAAAGGAGAAATAAAGGGAAAGTAAGAGTAGTAAAATAATATGTATTTCAATATGCATTTCTAGCTATACTAGAAAAAAAAAATAAAGTCGTCAGGTACTCAAGAGTCACCATGAATGTGATAGCTGCAAATGCTGGGGTGTGGTGTGGGTGATCAGACCCCCTGAGTGGCCTTACTGTAGTGATTTTCTGAAAGAATAAACAATTGTTGATACAGTTCTAAACAAAGTTGATAAATTCTGAACAAAGTAGAGTATTATCTTCCTTCAATTTATAGGGTAGTTGCATTCCTGAAAAATTCAGTATATAGTTAAACCATTTAAAAATAAATTTCTGATTTGTGACACCATGGGTGGACCTTGAGGGTGTTATGCTAAGTGAAATAAGTCAGACAAGGAAAGGCAAATACTTTACCATTTTACTTGTATGTGGAATCTAAAAAAAAACTGAACTCATAGAAACAAAGATAAAGATTGGTGGTTGCCAGAGGCAGGGTGGGGGTGGGGGAAATGGAGGAAAGTGGTCAAAAGTACAAACTTCCAGTTACAAGATAAATACATTCTGGGGATGGAATGCACAGCGTGGTGACTGTAGTTAACAGTACCGTATTGTGTATTTGAAAATTGCTAAGAGATTAGATCTGAAGAGTTTGTAAGGTGATTTTTGAGGTGATGGATGTTAATTAAGCTTATTGTGGCAATCATTTTAACAATATGTACATATATTGAATCATTATATATATACCTTAAACTAATACCATATTATATGTCAATTATATCTCAATAAGATGGAAAATATTTAAAAACCCTTTATTATTATGTATGAAACAGAATTTATAGGATCTGGTCACTATAAATGGATTTTTCACTTATATTGAGTTTCTATTAAGGTATTCAGAAATCACACAGGATGTGGGACAATTCTTTATTATCTAGGATAGATTATTTGGTTTCCCAGGCCCTGAGATTTCTAAAGTGCCTCCTAAGAAGTGGCATTACCATTTTCCTAGCTAAAATCAGTTTTTTGTAGGGAGAGAAAAGGAAAATGGATTTTGGAAGGCAAATAGCAGTTAATTGACTCACTCTCTCTTTCATTGTTGGTCTTCACCATCTTCCTGTAGGATTTCCTAGTGTTCTAAATTCTCCTCTATAGGATAGAAATAAGTGCCAGCCAACACCCAGACCCTCATGGGAATAGTCTTATGTATCCCAAGAACTTACTATTTTCTGCAGTAAACCTAGTCCTCTTCCATTTAATGAACAGGTAAAAATTATACCATGAATAATGACATTTATTGAAGTCACCATTTTACTTAACTTTGGCTTTCTTTATTTTCCTTGAATAGGACTACTTCTTTGGTACACTTTCATCCTTTTGCATTTCCATGTATTCTCACAAGGTGGCACCGAATGCTGTGGGTTGTCAATGCCTGTATCAAGGCTTAGCTTTGTCTCCTTGGGGCTTCTGTCTCTTAGGGTTAATGTTCAACAGCGGGTGGTTTTCAGTATTGGTATTAACCAAGATATAAGAAGACTCCACCTGTCTTTCTCTACTTAGGTGTGAAGAGCTTTAATTTATAATTAACAATGAAAGGCAAAATCATTAAGTAGTATAATCCTATCTTAATGAATATTTTAGGGTGTTTTGAGTCCTTGAAATGTTTTATCCGTTTTCTTGGCAAATATTGGTTATGCAATTAGTACAGTGTTATAATGCATCTAATTTTAGCCTTACTAGAGATGTAAATTCTCTTAATTTGCGTTTATCTAAGACTTCCTATGGCTATAAAACTGCAAAGAGGAAGAATATGAGGTGAAAGCTGATAGTATCCCTGATTTAAGTTGTTTTCAGTCAAATTTTTGAGGCAGCTTAATCGCCATGTCAAAGTTTGACAAGCGTCTAATCTGTAGGTAACTTTCTTTAAAATTTAAAATAAACATGTAGAATTAATAAAGAGATACTTCCTGGAGAAGAATGACAACCAGACAAGTATCACACAGTTTGATTGCACAGTGATTGGTCTCTGAGAGCCTAACCGCACATTAACAGTACCTAGAAGAGACTGGTGTAGAAAACCACAAGGCTGTCTTACTCTTTACATCATACAAATACTCATGTTTGCCTGACAGCACATTTTTGCCCTGGAAACAAATTTACATGGAAAGTCAGAGTATAAGCAGAAGATGCTTATCAGGTGTGGACTCAGAGCAGTGGAGTGGATTGGATGATCCTAATCGTGGTGTCATCAGATAGCCTGTTGACATGGTCTAGATTCTCGTGATGATGGGCCAGGCCCCTTTCTCCTTAGGAAAGCATTGACAGTACGTGGCCCACCTTTGCTTCTCTGAGTCTCCCTTTTCTGTAATTTCTTCATTGATCCCACACCCTCATTAATCACACAATTCTCATTAAGCCACACCCTGCCCTACCTCTTTCATTAGATGTGTAATGGATGCAGTCATTTGTAGTTGACTTCACTTGGGAGCCTTTATTTTTCTTAAAGTAGTTTTCCTCCATGGGCAGACCTGGAAGATGCTCCCAGCAATTCAGCTCTTAACCCATTGGCTAGGACATAGGTCCCCCAGCTTTCTCAGTTCCTGGCGCCTTGGTTTTTCAGTTTCAGATAGATATCTCAGTCTATCTTAGTATTTCTACAGCCCTTCTTGGCCAAAAGCAATACCTAATAGTTAAAACAACTTAGTAAGTCTGTATATCCTTAGAACTTAGTAGCTGTTTGGAAAAAACAAAACAAAACATATAAATTGAAAGAAAAAGTAATGTTTAAATTGCATTCTTAGGTAACTACAATAATCTCAAACTTTGGAATGAGACTGAACATCACCACCCTCATGTCCTGTTCCATTCCCTTTCATACTACACTTGCTCTTTATCTGAGCAGCCACCAAAATCCCAACTTCACAACGATGCAATGCCTTTCAAAAGAATATAGTGCAATTTATTTTATTTTATTTTTATTTTTTTAAAAAATATTTTATTTATTTATTTGACAGAGAGAGACACAGTGAGAGAGGGAACACAAGCAGGGGGAGTGGGAGAAGGAGAAGCAGGCTTCCCGCCGAGCAGGGAGCCCAGTGCAGGTCTTGATTCCAGGACCCTGGGATCATGACCTGACCCGAAGGCAGACGCTTAACCGACTGAGCCACCCAGGCGCCCCAAGAATATAGTGCAATTTAATGTTGGAATTGTGAACTACCTCAAGCTAGTAGCATACATGGTGTCCTATAGAGGCCAACTCTTGCTGTTTCCCTCAAAAATTTAAAATATTCATGGTGCTTTTGCGAGTTCACCATGGTTCTCTGGGTACCTGGGACACAGTTTGGGAACCACGGGGCTAGAACTCAGTCATATAGCTGCATCTAGCTGCAAGGAGATGAAGAAATGGAATCTATTTAATTTAATCTAGTGACCTCTGCTCCAATAGATTAAATATTTAAATATTAATTTTACATTTCTGTTTTCACAGTGCTGTCTTGTATCCCTGTTGGTAAATTATTGAAGGGCAGATGATTATTTCCTCCTTGTAATAATTATAACCATAATAATGGTCACTATTTATTGAGCACTTATATGTAATAAGTGCTCTACTAAGGTGCTTTTCATATATGGTCTCACTTAATCCTCACAATACCTTTTGAGGTAGGTACAAGTATTATCCCATTATATATACATAATGGAAACTCCTATTTAGATTAAGTATCTTGCATAAAACCACATAGAAATCAAGTGGCAAAGCAGGGTTTGAACCAGGCTGTCTGATTTTATTTTTTAAAATTTATTTATTTATTTATTTATTTATTCATTCATTCATTTATTTGAGAGAGAGAGAGAGCACGAGCTGGGGGAGCCTGGGTGAGTGGCAGAGGGAGAGGGGAAGCAGACTCCCTGCTGATCAGGGAGCCCAATCCCAGGACTCCAGGATCATGACCTGAGCCAAAGGCAGATGCTCAACCAACTGAGCCTCCCAGCCACGCATCTTGGGCTGCTTGATTTTAGAATGAACTCTCTTAACCACCATACTCTTTTACGTTTGATATTTACTGACTACAAAATGAAGAACAATATTATATATTCGTGTTGGCATTATTTACTGTTCCACCTATGCTAAAGTAATTAAATTAATACTACCTTTTATACAGTAACTATCTTCAAAGGATTTAAGAAGTAAATTCTCACAACATCACTTGAGTAAGCATGAAGAAGAGACTTGTTCAAAATAGTTCCATGTCAACCTTCCCACATTCTAGTCTGAAATAATACAGGGAGAAAAGGGGGAGGCCAGTATCTATCTCCCAACTTGATATTAGTCAAAGCCCCTTACCTATAGGATGTGACACCAAAACATTTTGTTAACATCTTGACCCCCCGTTTTTGTTGCAGGAGGCCGAGGGAAAGATGGTGCACCCATCATCACTTTTCCAGAGTTTGTGGGGTTCAAACACCTCCCAGAGGAAGACTTCCTGAATGTCATGACCTACCTGACTAGCATCCCCAGGTGAGCTGAACATAGCGGTTTGCTGCCTTCCCAGTCACTGGCTTTATTCTGAATTTCCCATGTGGCAGGGCTGGGCTGAGATGGAATCTTCCGTGAGCACGGCCCACACTAGTATGTAGCTTGGCCAATTTCTCTTATTTATCCATCACAGACAAGGGATGGGGGAAGAGTCTAGAAAACAATGATAAATGAGTGTCCATTTTGACTCTGGTGTGCACATAGGTGGGTACCCAATAAACATTGTTGAGTGAATGAAACATTGACTGAATAGCTAATGCTGACTTTGTGCCTTCAGGTTCATTGCTCTGGATTAAGGTGAGTCTGGCTTCCTGGGGCCTGTCATCTGGGACACATGGCCATTGTTCAAGGAGGTCAAACCATTTTAGGAGTTAATTTAGTTATCTCCCCCAAATAAGGAATTTAGGGGCAGAGTTTATACCTGTCCTATTCAGATGGACAGGTAAGAGGGCAGAGAGCTAGGAAACAAAGGCCGGGAATAAAAACTGTGCTTATAGCTAAGACCTTGACAAAGATGTTTTTGGCATCTGCTGTTTCCACCCCCTCTAACCCGGGCCTCATACCTTTATCCATTGAAGTCAGTGAATACCCAGGCATCCAAGGTGCGGAGTGTGGGACAGAGTTCATATTGGTGACAACAATTTCACAGACAGAGATCGAGCTGGGAGTGGGGTCCAGAACCAACTCTTAGTGCCATGTCCACTCTCCAGCCAGGAAAGGCCCTGCCCTCCATGGGGTTATAGTGCTTATGACATCCTCTCTTAACTGCTGTGAGGTTAGGCCATGTGTGTGCTCTTCAGCTTGCCTTCTGTCTGCCTCATGTAATTTCGAGGTTAACACCAGTTTTGTGATTGAAAGGCCACCTGGTGTTTCATCCCACCTGTGGAGATCAGGCAGTTGAGTTGTTTGCTTTAACCAAACTCACTCTAAAAGTTTTTTTGGTTTTTGTGTTTGCTTGTTACCTTTCTTCTTTTTTCAGGGAAGGCTATGGATTTCTATTTAATGCACTTCTTCAAAGTTTAGTGCTTCAATTATATTTCACCAGTTCCCTTCCTTTCTTCCTTTGATCCCTGAATATGGCATGTATTACACAGACATGTGAGGATTTGGGGTTTTATTAATTTGGAGGAAGGATGCTGTATGTCTCTGGGCTGAGCTCAAGTGGTTCTCTGCTGAGCACCTTTCCCACCCTTCTTGATCTGGCTAACTTCTACACATTCATCTGATCTCATTTCTTCAAGGGCTCCTTCCCTGACTTCATTTCTGCTCTCATAGACTCTTAATTTCCATAGACTCCTGATCTTACCTCTTATATAACACCATAGTATATGGAAGTTATTTCTGCATTTCCCATTAGACTGAACAACTCAAGTAGGGGCCAATGCTTTGGTTTTGTTTTGTTTTCTCTTTTATCTCTAGCCCTAACACAGTGCCCAGCACATAGTAGGTTCTCAAGAAGTATTGTTGATGGAACTTCCAGTTCTGATATAATTCATTTCAATCAATGAGTATTTATTATAGAGTGAGAAGGAGGCTGCTGACAGAAGAGAGGGGAACCCCAGTCTTCCTGCCTTTACCTCCCTGGTTTATAGGGAGTTGAACTTGGTCCCCCTCTTTGGTTCGATTGCATTCTAAAACAGTGGCCCATCAGTTTAGGAACTTCTCCTTTCATGGGGAACAGCAAAGAAAGGGGGTAAGCAGGGAGGTGGGCAACAGGTGGACATGGCCCCCCCATTCTCATTATGTTTGTTTTAAACTCACCATCTAAATTTCCTGAATCCCCAGATGCAATCATATGCTAAACAAAATGGGTGGTTTTCATCTTGTACTTGAGCATTTTCTGAGTCACACGGAGAAGCATACACTGAGTGCCATCTGTAGATGGCAGTGCCAGTGTAGAGAGAAACATTGAAGGGTAGAACCCTTATCTCCCAGATGTAGAAGAGAAAAGACAAAATCAGGGACTAATGTTTTGGCCTGGTGTCTTTTTTCTGCCCTATGTTCCTTACATAATTTCTTGTAAATAAGGAGTTTTCCCCTTTCCTAGAATGCTTTTGTTCTTGAGAAAGAATAGCTGTCTGACCAGTTATTACCCTTTCCTCTTCCTGGCAGTTGCTCATACCCCACTTGGTGCCCCACTCCTATTCCTTTCAACATAAAACAGAGACAATGGGTAAGAAGGCCCAAAATGGAAATTTGACCTAAACCTTACTGTCCAGGTTCCATTTCAGGTTCCAAAGAATGAAACTACCCTTGTTTCTTTTATGATTCCTACTTACCATCATATGCATCTTTCTAAATCTTACAGTGGTTGCCAAGCAACAGAGCCCTTCCCAGGCTGCAAAATGTTTTATAGGCAGTTGGCAGAGGGCTTATGACACAGAACAAGGAAGAATTGATGCACTTGAAGAGGAGGATGGCAGGATACCCAGGGTAGGGAAAGGATACCTCTGTGCCTGAAATTAATAAGGACCTCTCACTGTGGCTGGGTTGGGTGAGTGCAGAAAGCTTCCCATGGCAGCTCATTCTTCACCAGAACTTTGCTGTGTGCCAACAGCGTGGATGGTTCTGTTAGGTGCTGTAAAGGACCAATGAGGCCATAACACTGTATCTTGAACCTCAAGAAGGTTGTCACGGGACTCTGTTGTCATGATATTTTGTGAAATATGCGAACAAAGTGCTAAAGGAAGTCAGAAGAGAGAAAAGTCACATCAGACAAGAATAACAAGGAAAGCTTTAGGAAGGAATAGCCTTGAAAGATAGGTAAAATTTCCACAGGTAGATATGGAAGGTGATGTTCCAGAGAGAGAGAATAGGGTGCTGTTTAACAGCTTTGAACACAGCCCCGATCTGGAATGAAATCCACATTCTACTGCTCACTAGCTGAGTGATCTGGGGCAAAATGTTGGGCTTCTATTTCCAATGTCCCCTGAATTTTGAAGTTTTAAATAGAGTATGTTTGGGGAATTAGAGACCGTGCAGGTTGATCAGAACAGAGTGAGGCACCTTTTCAGACAGTAGTGAGAAATGAGAGCTGGAAAGACATCTGGAAACAGACTAGGCAAGGCCTTTTCCACCAAGTTAAGGAGTTTAGACATAGTGAGCCGGAAGAGGCCGTTGGAGGTTTCGAGGAGAATGACAACCAGATCAATCTGGTAGTGGTGTGCAGGGTGGATCAGATGGAGCCAGAAGAGGAGGCAGGGAGACTGATTAGGGGCTTCTACACTGGGACAGGTGCAAAATGAAGGGGAGTGACTAGCTTGATAGCAGGAGGACTGGGTAGAAAGGGATAGACAGAAAGGTGCTGGTCAGGGTCAGGGAGGGGGAGAGTGAGAAACTGATGATGGTGCTTGGCTTTAGGAATCATATTCATAGATCTCACTGCTTTTCTGGGCATAGGGAATTGAGCCCTCATTTTGATTTTGATTGTCTCATCTTGTTTTATTTTGCTACTTTGCCTGGCACTTCCTTACCAAAAGTATGCTGGGACAGTGGTTTCCAACCTAGCTGCACATTAGGGGAGGTTTGGGGAGTTTTTTTTTTTTTTTAATTTAAAAAATAAATTTAAAAAGATTTTATTTATTTATTTGAGAGAGAGAGAGAGCATGCTCGAGAGTGTGCACAAGAATGCATGGGGGTTGGGGGAAGGACCAGAGGGAGAGAGAGAGAGAGGGACAGACTCCCTGCTGAGTAGGAAGTTCTATGTGGGCTCCATCCCAGGCTCGATCCCAGGACCCTGAGATCATGACCTGAACTGAAGTCAGATGCTTAACTGACTGAGCCATCCAGGTGCCCCTTATTTATTTGAGAGAGAGAGAGAGAGACCGTGTGTGCATGTGTATGCAAGCACATGCAAAAGCGAGGGGTAGGGAGAAGGAGAGAGATTCTCAAGCAGACTCTGCACTGAGCATGGAGACCAACACGGGGCTCAATCCCACGACCCATGAGATCATGACCTGAGCTGAAACCAAGAGTTGGACACCTAACCGACTGAGCCACCCAGGCGCTCCAGGATCACTTGGGGAGTTTTTAAAAAATCCTGATACCCAGACCAGAACTCAGACTAATTAAATCGGAATTTTTTTGGGGTAGAACCTAGGCTTCTGTAGTGCTGGAAGCTCCACAGGTGATTCCATTGTGCCACCAAGGGTGAAACTCACTGTGCTAGGGCTGGCAGGGAGGCACTGTGGGGAGAGGGAAGAGGCATTTGAGGTGTGAGGAAGAGAATGTGGAGTCAGGCTTAGCTTGTGAATAAGATGCAATAGTGGGGCATGTGGGGAAGTTGAAAGACAGAGAGGAGGCAGTACCCAAATCTTTTACTTTTGTTTTCACAGTTCTGTATTTCTTCTTAAATGCAACATAGGCCAAAAATTCTAATTCCTGAGCTTCCTGACTCTGCGATTTCTTTGTGAATTAAATGTAGTATATAACTCTTGAGTTAGAAATCTTCCCACATGGATCTCATGGTATTAAAATTTATATGGTTGTATCATTGCCCCATCACTGTTATCTTTCCAATAACAACTGAGGCCTCACTTTGGCCTATCAAGTACCATCTGCTATGTGTCTATATAACTAAGGGTTTTCAGAATTTGTCTTATAACACGAGCAGGATAATCCTAGGAGTCAGTTTCTCAGAGGTATTATGTAAGATACTGTCACTTAAAACAGGTCTCCTGTGGCTACCAATTGCAGCCAAATGGCTTGAAAACGCATTGGTAAAACATTCTGAACAACTGAGATGGTTAGCTATTTTTAGATCACAGTTGTTTTTCTCAAAATCAATATTTGTATAACTAAGCATGTATTTTTATTACTGAATTACTCTATTCAGTTTCTTTGTTTACTTATAGTTCTGAGTTCATTATTTGAAAGGGATTGGAGAAAGTACTTTTATTAGATGGTACAAGTGTTGTATTTCATAACAATGGTAATTTTATGATTATTTACTGTTTCTAAAGGGTCTTTTCTATAATGAATCT